ACTTCTTGGCACATTAGGGACAGTTTTACACAAATTCAATAAAGAGTGATGTTAGTAATAAATTGTGGCTGAAATGTTAAAAAATTGAAATATATGTCTCCTGCCCATGAAACTATTGGAAACACTGGACAAGTGTTCACCAAACATTATGAAATGTGAGAGACTGTAAATTCAAAATATATTTACAAAAAAAAGTTAATTAAAATTTAAATGATAATTACCAAAATGAAGTGTGAGAATGAAAAATCTCCAGGTATTCTGAAAAAAATTAAGTAGATTTTTTTCAAAGAATTAAATAATTATGTTGTTAAGTGCCATCAAATTGGTCCCACTCATAGAGACCCGGTAAAGGGTTTCCAGGGATTAGTTGGTCGAGTTTGAACTACCAGCCTTGTGGTTTAAACCAACCTATGGTTCAGTGCATTATTCTATAGCATCACTACCTGTGTTAAGTGTATTCATCTTTAGATAGATACAAGATTATTAGATATGACTATAATTGTGTATGTGTGTACATGTTGTAGAACCTCTTGGGGAATAATGTAACCAGAAAACTTAAAACAGCCATATCACCTGCTCTATTAATTTAACTTCTTAAATGTGTGCTACGAAACCATAAAGGCAGAACATAAATAAAACAAATAGCTCAAACCCTCAATTGCTCATGGTACACTAATGATAAAGCAACATACAAATATGGTGAATGCTATCAATAATCCTAATGAATAAGTGAAATATTTAAAATTATATCTTTGTAATGTAGTAATATTGGCAACAATATCTTTTATAATTTTTGACATTTTTGAAAAATATGAATCAGAAAATAAAAACTAAATCTTTTAGATGGCAGTTTATTATTGAATCTGCCAATTTTCTTATCATTGTTCAACATGAGCACATTTGTTTATGCCTAGGTCAATTTGTACCCACTTTTTCTATGCCAAAGAACAAAGGAATTTAACAAATTTTTCAGGAGAAGAGTTTTAACCTGATATAAACTTGGCATATGAGTTACTTACACCCTTTGCATTGTCAGGGGAAATTAAAGTGCTAAAATGTTGGCTCAAACAAAAGAAACAAAATCATCTATCTGCTTAAAGTCTTTTTGGCACAATTCAAAGACTAGGGCAGATTAAAGAAGTATCAGATGCAAGTGTAAAACTCCTTGAGGAAAGGACAGAAATATTGCCATGAGGTCAAAATCCTACTGACCCGGAGATGAGAGAGAGAAGAGGAAGGGCTGGTTAGTCCTATGTGTGGTGAGACCTGGGGTCTCCTGAGCTGATGGATGAGGACATAGCCAGGGAGGGCTAGAGCTGAGAGGGAAGCATCCAGCTGATATGAAATGAGGGGAGATGCACAAGAATGCCCAAACTTGCAGATAGTACCCATTTGACCTAGCTTCAATGGCTTGATGATCAGAACTCAGCTATAGGATAAAAATAGAACAATTTTTGATAAAGGAAATAAGCATAAACTGCTTCAATTTGATTAACCTGACCTGTACTTATATATGTAGTAGCTCAGAATACCAAATGAGAGGAAATGAGTCTTCATATCAAATAGCAATAGTATCCCCTCTGTATACAGGTTACGTAAGGATGGGCAACTGAGCTATTGGCTACCTAAAATGAGGGAGCGATAAAGGCACAACGTGACTGGCTTACAAATTTTCAAGAGGGGGTTTAGTTTCAGAGTGTACAGGGGAAGGTAGAATCCCCACTGAATAGTTTTCATTGTGTCTAGACGGATCTGGTGAAAAGAGATGGGAGTAAGATTCTTATGATTCATGACTAATTGCAACTGTAACAACTGTAAAGGTAGAAGTTCTGTAACAAAAACAGGGGAGTAGTTAATCTTACAGTCCAGGAACAGAGGACCCTAGGACCATCCAGGGAAAAGAGCAGGAGCAGAGAAGCAGCTACACCAGAGATGGAGGCAGAGATGAGGACATGGAGAGAGGGAGCAGCTGTGGACTCTAGTTCATGGAAAGAGGAAGACTGAGTGCTGGTGGCCAAGAGGCAGACTTGCAGAATGTGCCCTTTGGTGGTTTAAATCATTATATATTTCTGAGTGTTTTTGTGTTCATTCCGTCTCCCCCCACCCCACCCCTCAAAAAAACAACAACAGAGGGAATAGAAGCAAATACTGTTGAATGATGACTCATGGAAGAGATTGTAATCATTGCAATGAAATGATGGTGTAAAACTAATGTATTCAGGTTAACTATCACTCAATTCACATTAAAAAAAAAAACTTGAGAGAAAGAAAGAAATGCAGTCCACAGTTACAAATGAAATCCACTCCTAACTGCACCTTTAATCCTTAAGTGGAATTTATAGTAGGTGAGTCAAAAAAGGTTTCCATGGTTCTTATTTATTCTTGTATTACCACAAGAAAGGAACCCTAGTGTATTACCTGTTGGGCTGTTCACCTCAAAGTCAGGGGTCAAGTCCACCAACCAGTCCTTGGGAGAACGATGAGGATGTTTACTTCAGTAAAGCTTTACTGGCTCAGAAATCCTATGGACGCTTCTTTCCGTTAGGGTTCCCAAGTCAGAATCGACTCAATGGCAGTGGGTTTTAAAGCAAGAAAAGGCTCAAAGACTTTTCAGTTATTTAAAAACTGCAGCCAGTAGAGCTGACAGTTGTGAGGAATTTGTTGATAGTAGGGTTTTTTCCAATTGTTTCAAAATGAGGGTAAATTACCATAACATTAAGGGACAAACAGGAATGTTTTTTAGATTCCTGGTGTGGCGCTACAGGATAAGCACTGGACTGCTAACCTAAAACTCAGCGGTTCAAACCGACCAGCTGCTCCTGGAAACCCTATACAAGGGAGCTCAAGAGTTGCCTTTAATGGTATAATCAGAACCAGGGGCTGCTGTGTATTTATTTTACTCAACCAGAAGAGTTTCTATTAACTCCTTCTCAGCCTGTAAGAAATCTCTGTTTCACTGTCATCAAGCTGGTTCTGACTCAAAGTGAGCATGCGTAGGGTTTTCGAGGTTGTAAATTTTATCTTTACAGAAATGGAACGCCTCATGGTTTTCCGAGGAGCTGCGGGTAGGTTTAAACTGCCATGGTTACCAGACCAGTGCTTATCCTACAGTTCCACACCAGGACCCTAAAGAACATCTTGTGTTGTTATTAAGTGCTGTCGAGTCAATACCCACTCATAGCGACCCTGTGGAGGGTTTCCAAGAAGCAGCTGGTGAGCTTGAACCGCCGACCTTGCAGTTCAAACGACTTTGCAGTCTGCCGCGTTAACCCACGGCACCCCACCAGGACTAGCAGTACAGGGGAATAAGCGATGCCAAGTAGTATGGTTTGGTCCTCAATTCAAAAGTTTTAACTTCAAATCTGAAGTTGTATGCCAGTAAGACAATGGTATAATTTAAAGTATTTTTCTCCAACTCACTGAGACTTTCAAGCTTGAAATTACAAGGGTGAATCAAAAATTATCCACACTCTGGCTGTAGAATTTATTTTAATCAACTTTTAGAAAAGACAAATACATCATTTTTTGACATAATCTCATTGCTTTTCACTATACTTTGTCCACCTGTATACAAGCTTTTGTATTCTCTTATTAAAAAATATCTTAGGCTGAGCTGTGAAGAAGTAAATTGACTTCTTCGTCAGAGGTGAATCTTCCTTCTCTAAGGGATCAAACAGGTGAAAATCCAATGGAACAAGATCAATACTATAGGGAGGAGGCTGTCACCTATCAAAATGACATTTTTGCAGAATATCAACAGTGTGGGCAGAGGTGTGTGAATGCACACTGTCATTCGATATCACAAAGCCCTTGGATAGCAGTCCTCTACATTTAATTCCAAGTTTAGGCTTCAGTTCTTCAGTAAGCATCTCACTGTAGTGAGCACTGTTGATTGTTGAACCTTTTTCCTGTTAGTGTTCCAATACTGCACCCTGAGAATCCCAGAAAACTATAGGCATCAATTTTCCAGCTGATAGCTGACTTAGGAAAATTTTTTGGTCAGCAATTGAGATGTTTCCATTCCATACTTCGTTGTTTACTCTCAGATTCATAGTGATGAAACCATGTCTCATTACCAGAAATATTTTTTTTTCTTTGAAGAAACTTTGACCTTCTTTCGAGTATCAGTCCAAACTTTGTTTGCAGATGTCCAAATGCTTCTGTTATGCTCTTCAAGTAATTGTTTTGGTACCCATATTGAACAAACTTTTCAAAGCCCAAGTCGGTCCTGGATTATTTTGTAAACAGAGCCATGGCTGATTTGCAAATGACTTGCCACATAATCCATGGTCACTCGCCTATTGCACAGGATCATTTCACATCATCATCAATGTTGTCATCAGCTGTGGATGTGGATGGTCATTTTTAATATAACTGGAGTACGGATAATTTTGTACTCACCCTCATATTGATTATATCACAAATTATAAGTAATTTAGTTAAGTAATTAGTAAACAAATATAAGGAAACTACACTTAGGGGAAAATAACTATCCAATATCATTAGGTAATATGTGGCAGCATCAATGGGCTCAAGCGTAGCAACAATTGTGAGGTTGGCCCAGGATTGGGCAGTGTTTCGTTTTATTGTACATAAGGTCACTATGAGTCGGTACCAATTCGATGGTACCTAACAACAACAACAGCAACAATATGTGGTAAAGCAGAATATGTACTTTTGTTTCTTTGTGTGATTTTTATCCCATTATTTTGTCACACACTACACCTGAAACAGTTATTTCTGATATATCAGAGGGTGAGGTTCCAATGGAATTAATTATCTTTGTGAGAGCTCAATAAGGACCTATTGGAAGCTTAATAACAGACTACTGTTTTCAGTAAGCATGTTACAGAACAGTGCTTATAGAGGCAAAGAATAAAAATATTTAACCATCTTTAAATATCTCTAACCATTCTTTCCCCAATGAAGTTCTCATTCATTTACCAATGAGTTCATCTTTGTACTTGTTGCATAAAAACAGACATATCCAAGAGATCTTACTAGATAGGTTTGCAGTTCAGAAGATATTTCACAGCAGCTTTGACATCCTTATTCCTCAGGCTATAGATGATAGGATTCAGCATAGGGGTCACTACCCCATAAAACAGAGAGATGAGTTTGTCTAATGCTTGCAACTTTTCTTCTCCAAGCAAGTCTTGGGACTTTGGTTTTGCATACATAAAGAAGATGGTACCATAAAATATGATCACCACAGTCAGATGAGCTGAGCAGGTGGAAAAGGCCTTACGTCTTCCTGTGGCTGAGTTCATTCGCAAGATGGTGTAAAGGATGAACATGTAGGAGAAAAAAATAACCAGCAGTGGAAAAACCAGGAAGAACATATTTGATATCACCATGGTGATGATGTTAATGGATATGTCAGCACAAGCAAGCTTGAGAACAGCTAATATTTCACATGTGAAGTGATTGATAATGTTTTTCCCACAGAAAGGCAATTGCATGGCAAGAGCTGTTTGCACAATTGAGTTGATTCCTCCAGAAAGCCAAGACAGAGAAGCCATTAGAGTGTACACCAACTTGTGCATGATGATGCTATATCTCAGAGGGTTACAGATGGCCACATAGCGATCAAAAGCCATCATGCCAAGGAGCAAACACTCTGTTGATCCCATTGCAAACCCAATGAACATCTGCACTGCACATCCGGAGAAGGAAATATTTCTTTTCTTTGAGATTAGGCTCACCAATGTTGAAGGAACTGAAGAGGAAGTATAGCAGATATCCAGAAAAGAGAGGTTGCCCAGGAAAAAGTACATGGGGGTGTGAAGATGGGAATCAAAGATGCTGGCTATGATGAGAACACCGTTGCCAATTAGAATCACTAGATACATCACCAGAATTAGAAAAAAGTAAATTATCTCAAGCTTTGGGTACCCAGAAAGACCCAGAAGAATGAATTCTCTCACAAATGTCTGGTTAAACTTATCCATGTCATCTGTTTTCAGGTGGTCAAAAGCAGATCTAACATAAAAATATTTATCTTAAAGATAAAAACGTTAAAACTCACCTGAGCAACCTTTTACTTTTTTTCAGTTGGAGTAGAAACTATGGTGCTTGAAGTTCTGACATCCAGTTATCATCAACAATTTGCATGACTAGATTACAGTGAAATTGATCATCTTGGAAATATCTAGATATCATACTCAATGCAGGCAGATCTACTTACATTCTGAAACAAATACAGAAGTAATATTTTCTGTTGTTGAGGACCGATTCCTGAGTTAAAAGTTATTAAATCCTTGGTATGGAATATTGTAGACCACAAATCTGACTTTCTTTTGTCAGTACCACAAGTACGGGTACTGACAAAGAAGAAGGGGGATTTTCAACCAGTGACCTGCAGAGATGGTCAAAATGTCAAAGCAACTTTGTTTCTTATGCATATTTTTATCTATGTCTGACACTGTGTATCTTATTTTCATCCATTTAACAGTGTATGTTTATATTTAATCATAGTATCTTAAATAGCATTTAGTAAAATTTTACATTGGTTCCAAGGCATAGTAAGTTGTTGAAGTGATATTCCATCCCATTCTTAATATCTTGTTTGACTACTCCTATGACAAAACCCTTGAATAGATCAACTTTGCATGTACTTGATGGAGAATCTTTAGAGAACAGACTATAATCTTTCCATAGTCTCTTCACTTGTGTTCTTCTATAGTTTTAGAGTTCTTCTTGATAATTTACTTCTTTAAGTCAACCTGAATAAGTAATATAATATCAAATAATAATGTTTAAACAGTTTATATAAATGCATATAACACTCCAAGGAGCCCTGGTGGTACAGTGGGTTAAGTATTGGTCTGATAACCGAAAGGTCAGCAGTTCAAACCCAACAGCTACTCCAAGGGAGATGATGAGGCAGTCTGCTTCAGTAAAGACTTACAGCCTCAGAAACCCTATGGGGAAGTTCTACTTTGTCCTATAAAGTCATTATGAGTTAAAACTGACTCCACTCCAGTGGGTATATACCAGTCTACACTTTATACAATATAATCATTATTTATTATCATCTCCATTTTTAAAATACAAAAGACATAACTTCACCAAAGTAAACCTGCTAGTAAATGATAGAGCTTTAAGCTCAAGTATTTAACACCAACTCAAGTTCTCTGCTTCACTAATTTTCAAAAGCAAATGAATCATTTGGACATTGGTTTTATTGCATCCTGTTAGGCAGGATAATGAAGTCCCTGAGAGTTGTAAATGGCTAAACATGTTCAACTGCTATTAGAAAGGTTAGAAATTTGAGTCCACCCAGATGCATCTTGGAAGAAAGATCTAGGAATTTACTTTGGAAAAGTCTGTCATTTGCAGCCATTCTATTTTGACTCGTTAGGGCTAGACATTAGTCACAGGCCACTTGACAGCAACTGGGCTTTTTAGGAGGATTTTTTTTTTTTTTTTTTTTTTTTAGGGTAAAACTTCAGATGCTATTGTACTGTTCTTGACAAGCCCTAGGATTTTGAACTACCGACCTTGCAATTCAAACTGACTTTGGGATCTAGTGCATTATCCTGCAGTGCCACACCAGGACTCCTATATTAGCTTGCCGTTGAGTCAGTTCTGGCCCATAGTGACCCTATATAGGGTTTCTGAGGAGCAGCTGGTAAGCTTGAACCACTGACCTTGCAGTTCAAACGGCAGTCTGGCGCATTAACCCACAGTGCCACACCAGAAGTCTTATATATATTATTACGAATCGGGCTGCTAACCTCAAGGTTGGCAGTTCGAAACAACCAGCCACTCCGCAGGAGAAAGGTGAGGCTTTCTGCAAGGTCACTATGCGTCGGAACGAACTCCACGGTACTTAGCTAAGCTACAATATAGCTTAGCAACCTGGAAAATTACAGTAACATACTTCATTTGTGTTTTAAAGAAAATTCAAGAGCTGTACCATATAGTTGGAGTCCTGGTGTGGTGTCACAGGTCTGTTTGACCCACAAGGCTGGAGGTTCAAACTCATCAGACTCTCCTTAAAACTCCTATACAAGGTTGGTATATGTTAGAACCAACTCAATGTCACTTAACAATAACAACAACCATATAGTTAAATACTCTTAAGAAAATAAATGTAATTGAAATACACATTTTTAAAAGGCAAGGTAAATAAGTACTATAGTACTACAATATTTTCAGAATATTACAGACAGCCTACCTGGAACACAATCATGTTTCAGTCATGATAATGAGAAAGAAAAGGACAATTTTAGGTGCCTTTCTTTATATTATTTTATTCCTTATATATAACTATTCAGTTAGTGATACTGGAAATTTTTACATGAAAATATGGCATATACACAACTATATTGCACAACTTGGGTCAAAACTGTAGATTTTCCCAGAAGAAAGAAGTTTATGAGAAATAAATCAGCCAAGGGAGAATTCAAGGATAATTTCAGACTAGGGGTAGATCTGCAATCTGCAATGGAGAGCTCTAGTCAGGCTTAGAAGAGAAGAGGCGAACATGAGTACCTTGAAAAGAGAAGACCTTGAGTCCAAATTTAAGAATAACCAGACTGACAATACATCATTTTGGGATAAAGAAGTTTCTGTGAATGGTTAGTAGCAAGCACATCTGGGAGGAAACGGGGCAGGTAGAAGAAAGGCTCAAATATCAGACAAAGAATTTACACTTTGAGTGGGAAATAGCAGCAGGTGTAGGTGTGTATTTACAATCTGTAATTTTAACTAACTTCCAAATCTGATATCGTACAATATAGCTCTATAAGGTTTTTTGAGCAGAAATGTGACACAAATAATTAAAATATTTAGATGATCTAAATATTTAGATCAGTTTTGGTTAAAATTGATCCTATTTAACAACAAAATGTTGGTCAAATTCACAAATTTAAACCTCATGTGGGCTAACAGTTTTGAGAATTCAGAATAGCCATGATTTTCCATTGCCACACTCAATTTTCTGTGTAACAGTAGTTGGGATAACAATTGGGTATCAAAAGTTGAACTTGACAGAGAGATCCTCACTACAGAGACAATTCAGTTAAAACAAAACAAATAGAAGTATTTTAACTTTGAAAAGACAAACAAGGAATGTACAAATGAAAAACCTGAATCTAAAAGGATTGTTAATATCTATTTATTCAGTTTAAGGTCAAGAGTACTCAAAGGAATCAAAAAAAAAATTTTTTTTTAAACAGGCTGCAATAAAGTAGATATAGAAACCATGGGTCAATAGCAATAAATAGTCAGTGAGAATTAGAATCACCAGGACAAAATTTGGCTATACTCACTGAACAGTGCTCAGAAGAAAATAGCAATGATTCCATGTTGTTGTTGTTAAGTGCCATCAAGTCAGTTCCAACCCTTAGCAACCCTGTATAGGTTTTCCAAGGAGCAACTGGTAAGCTTGAACCACTGACCTTGTGATTCAAACGACTTTGCAGTCCAGTGCATTATAGCCCACAGCGCCACGCCAGGACTCCATATTCAGGCTATATTCCTTCTTACAATAAATCAAAATCCTTCTCAAGTGAGGATGTCTTGGATAAGGAGCATGAGTGCTTGGATCATCCAAATCATGAAATGCAAAAAGAAGAAAAAAGAGACAATGATTTATCTGACTGGCAAATACAGAGATGTTGGCTTCTCCTTCAAAAAACTACAAGGACAATGTGTCTTACACCACCCAAACTGTTTCTACTTGCCACCTGCTCCGAGCCTTCCTCGCATAGGCAAAAATGTTCTTATCCACTTAAACCACCTTGAGTCTGGCATGTCATGCTGCCTTTGTTTTCTTTTGCTCTTTGCACTTTAGTGATCTTGCATTTTGTGAGATAACAAGAGACTTAGGGAAGGTGTTTGCTTGTCTTTCTCATCTCTCCATGTTTGCCCTCTATCTAGGCCTGTAGATGACCATAATTTTTGTAGGTTATATATAGGTTTGACTCCTAAGACATAGGTTTGCTATCTGAGCTCTTAAGCAATTTACCTGTGTGATACTTTGGAGATTCATGATCAAGACAGCTTTAATTTGCCACATTTGTTCATCTGCAGCAGGCTTTTAGTTTGGGGTTATATTTACACTTCCAATTAGTTGCCCTCTTAAATAAATAGTCTCCAGTTCATGTAAATAGAGAGTGTTCACCTAACACTTATTTGACAGACATAAACTGGTAGTGGAAAGTGTTTGATACTCAGATTGAAAATTTGGGGGTTAAGATTTTTGCTTCTAATTTGCAGTCTTAATTTTCTTATTTGTAAAATAATGATAAAATATTTGTCTTACATTTCTCATAGAGCTGCTGAGAGAGAAAAAAATTGCATATGCAAATTGTTCTATGGATGCAAGGACATTTTACAGATATTTACAGTAATAATGATAACAAGCTAGTAGCTATGATTTAATAATGAAAATGATAATAATCTGGCTGTTTTGCTAAGGTTGCTTTTTGTATTCAAATCAAAGAATAAATTGGTAGTTTGAAAGACTGTTTTGTTGTATATAGGATCCTCATGTGGTATTGTGGGCTGCACTGCAAAGTCAATTTGAATTGCAAGGTTGGTGGTTCAAGCTCACCGCTGCTCCTCGGAAACCCTATACAGGGTTTCTATAGGTCAGAACTGACTCATCAGCACTTAACAATAAACAACAACATGCATAAGAATCAGCTTGAGATAGTACTTAATAGCACTTAACAATAATGGCAATGTACGGTTATTCTCAGGCTCCACATCCTTGGATTCAATCAATCACAGATCAAAATATTTGGGGAAATAAAAAGTCTCCTAAGAAGCAATTAAGTGGTCGATCAAAAAAGCAATTCTTCAAAGACAAAGAAGGATCATAAAGTGCATTTACATAGCATGTATATTTAATTAGATATTATAAACAACCTAGCTCTGGTAGCGTAGTGGTTACGAATCGGGCTGCAAACCTTAAGGTCAGTGGTTCGAAACTACCAGCCGCTCCGCGGGAGAAAGATGAGGCTTTCTACTCCCG